TGACTAAAATAAAATAAAATAAAAACAAGCAAAATCGTGGAATTAATATCCCCCGCTTTCAGGAACTATTGTAGGTTAACATTATTGAGGTTAGGTTTAAACATGTGAGTATCGTGCTGTTGAGATATAATGTATAGCTTGAAACTCGAAGAAAAAAAGCCTTATCTAATATTTGCTGGAGTTATTAAGCGGAAACTGCGGATAATGACTTTGTCAAATGGAGTCCGATTAAAGTGGTTGTCAAACTTGGCCGAGCCCTTAATGCGTTGAACCCTGAACATTACTAAGTTTGAAGACAATCGGATAATATTTGCGAGAGCTAATGAACAGAAACGGCAGATATTGACGTTTTTTGGTTATTGGGGTCCGATTAAAGGGGTTATCAAACTTGACCGAGCCCTTAATGCATTTAACCCGCTTACTTAGTTTGAAGAAAATCGATTAACATTTGTTGCAATTATTGCACGGAAACGGCAGATAATGATGTTTTTCGTTAGTCACGGGGCCATCACGCTGTATGAGATGAACCTGTGTGTGTGGTAAGGAAAGAAGTTTGATTTGTTTTATTATCAAACTGGAGAAATGACACCCAGGGAGTTGTATATATATCACCATCAACTGGACGTCTTATTCATGTGTCCCTTTTTTGACTTGCAATTGCAATTACTTTCACGAAACTGATGATGAAATATCTGCTACATGTAAAATTCCATACAAAATAAAGCCAGTTTACCACAGAGAGCTGCTTTCTGGGGGTATCCTTCTGGCATATTCATAGAATGTTCTAGAAACGACTGTTAAAGCACGGACTTAGATAGCATCTCAATCTAATTCCGTGGTTAAAGTGGTCAAAATCATAAAGAGCAGGCTTACCAGGACTGAAGAATTCCTCGATGATGTACAGTCCGGAAAACAAGAAACAGCTAATATTTCATCAACAAATCGACGTAACAGTCATGAACCTTTCGGATGCGGAACATCCAGTTCGAGGAATCCTACTTCTCTTTATGTGACCGCCCTACTTGTTCGAGCGATGTGGTCTGGACTTTCCACATAGAAATTAATGAAGACATGACCTATGTATAGTACTTAGAATCTACACTTTGTTGACTTTGTATTTGCTCCTGATGTTAATTGGTTGACGCCTTTTAAGTGTTTTGAAAGTTTGATGTCCAGTACTGGTGTACTGCCTCAAATGCTCGCATCGTCTATGAATATTCGGGTTCAAACACAATCTAGCGCAATAACTCCAAAAAAAAATCTGTCGTAAAATAGCTCCTCCGTCATTTCTACATGTACATGGGGTTGGTCAGGGAATGAGAATCGACAAAACGCTTATAATAATTTCAATAAAATATCTCAGGAAGCTTCCATCGCCAAAGACCAACCAAAGTTGTGACCTATATGGATCTTTACCCCTTATAAGGGCCTGAATGGTAGGACCAAAAGGGTTCAAAGTGACTAAAATAAAATAAAATAAAAACAAGCAAAATCGTGGAATTTATATCCCCCGCTTTCAGGAATTATTGTAGGTTAACATTATTGAGGTTAGGTTTAAACATGTGAGTATCGTGCTGTTGAGATATAATGTATAGCTTGAAACTCGAAGAAAAAAAGCCTTATCTAATATTTGCTGGAGTTATTAAGCGGAAACTGCGGATAATGACTTTGTCAAATGGGGTCCGATTAAAGTGGTTGTCAAACTTGGCCGAGCCCTTAATGCGTTGAACCATGAACATTACTAAGTTTGAAGACAATCGGATAATATTTGCGAGAGCTAATAAACAGAAACGGCAGATATTGACGTTTTTTGGTTATTGGGGTCCGATTAAAGTGGTTATCATACTTGACCGAGCCCTTAATGCATTTAACCCGCTTACTTATTTTGAAGAAAATCGATTAACATTTGTTGCAATCATTGCACGGAAACTGCAGATAATGATGTTTTTCGTTAGTCACGGGGCCATCACGCTGTATGAGATGAACCTGTGTGTGTGGTAAGGAAAGAGGTTTGATTTGTTTTATTATCAAACTGGAGAAATGACACCCAGGGAGTTGTATATATATCACCATCAACTGGACGTCTTATTCATGTGTCCCTTTTTTTTACTTATTGCAATTACTTTCACGAAACTGATGATGAAATATCTGCTACATGTAAAATTCCATACAAAATCAAGCCAGTTTACCACAGAGAGCTGCTTTCTGGAGGTATCCTTCTGGCATATTCATAGAATGTTCTAGAAACACTGTTACAGCACGGACTTAGATAGCATCTCAATCTAATTCCGTGGTTAAAGTGATCAAAATCATAAAGAGCAGGCTTACCAGGACTGAAGAATTCCTCGATGATGTACAGTCCGGAAAACAAGAAACAGCTAATATTTCATCAACAAATCGACGTAACAGTCATAAACCTTTCGGATGCGGAACATCCAGTTCGAGGAATCTTACTTCTCTTTATGTGACCGCCCTACTTGTTCGAGCGATGTGGTCTGGACTTTCCACGTAGAAATTAATAAAGACATGACCTATGTATAGTACTTAGAATCTACACTTTGTTGACTTTGTATTTGCTCCTGATGTTAATTGGTTGACGCCTTTTAAGTGTTTTGAAAGTTTGATGTCCAGTGCTGGTGTACTGCCTCAAATGCTCGCATCGTCTATGAATATTCGGGTTCAAACACAATCTAGCGCAATAACTCCAAAAAAAAAATCTGTCGTAAAATAGCTCCTCCGTCATTTCTACATGTACATGGGGTTGGTCAGGGAATGAGAATCGACAAAACGCTTATAATAATTTCAATAAAATATCTCAGGAAGCTTCCATCGCCAAAGACCAACCAAAGTTGTGACCTATAAGGATCTTTACCCCTTATAAGGGCCTGAACGGTAGGACCAAAAGGGTTCAAAGTGACTAAAATAAAATAAAATAAAAACAAGCAAAATCGTGGAATTTATATCCCCCGCTTTCAGGAACTATTGTAGGTTAACATTATTGAGGTTAGGTTTAAACATGTGAGTATCGTGCTGTTGAGATATAATGTATAGCTTGAAACTCGAAGAAAAAACGCCTTATCATATATTTGCTGGAGTTATTAAGCGGAAACTGCAGAAAATGACTTTGTCAAATGGAGTCCGATTAAAGTGGTTGTCAAACTTGGCCGAGCCCTTAATGCGTTGAACCCTGAACATTACTAAGTTTGAAGACAATCGGATAATATTTGCGAGAGCTAATGAACAGAAACGGCAGATATTGACGTTTTTTGGTTATTGGGGTCCGATTAAAGGGGTTATCAAACTTGACCGGGCCCTTAATGCATTTAACCCGCTTACTTAGTTTGAAGAAAATCGATTAACATTCGTTGCAATTATTGCACGGAAACGGCAGATAATGATGTTTTTCGTTAGTCAAGGGGCCATAACTCCGCCAAATAAAGTCCGATCAAAGTGGTCATAAACTTGGCCGAGCTCCTAAAATCAATTAACATTTCTTAATATTGCACGGAAACAAAGCGCGGCAGATAATGACATTTTTCGAGGGGACATAACTCCGCCAAATGGGGTCGAACTTGGCTGAGCCCTTAAGGCATTTAACCCTGTGACCAAGTTTGAAGAAAATTGGTTAACATTTCTTAAGTTATTGCACAGAAACGAAACGCAGCAGATAACGTCTTTTGTTTTCAAGGGGTCATTAACTCCGCCAAATGGGGACAGACGGACAAACCCAAATTAATATCCCCCGTTTCGGTGAAAGCGGGGTATAAAAATATTCTTGAGACCCATGTATGCTATCTAGAATCAATATACTCTTCATGGATGGAAAGGTCCTGAAGTGCTTTAGAAAGTTTATGAATTCAATACCCCGAGTCAACTATTCCCCATTGGGGAGGGTTACGTTTACTATGATTTATACCGTACAATGAATAGAGAAATAATGTATTGCATAATGTTTCTTTTTTATTTCCTTTCTGCTTTTTGCAATCAATTTAAAAGCTACAAAAATACGCAATGACAGATTGAAAATATGGCTTTCGGCAAATAAACGTATAGGAAGGTATTTCTTTTTGTTACAGCCTGTGGGTAGAGTAAATGGCACCAGGTGTTAATTGGTAATTTCTAAATCCAAGCATAGGGGCACGGTTCAATTAATCAATTTATAAATATATATTTACGTTTAGGACCAATGATCATAACCTTAAATATTGAAAAAATATAATCATTATCGATGTTCTTGATGATTTTAGTTGTGACCATTGACAAGATTAGTGTTTTTATGTATATTGAATATGATATTTAAATTTATGATTATATATGGCGTTGTAGGGTAGGGACCACAGCCGTTTCCTATAATGATATGACCAATTAGTGACTATTTATGTCCCAAAGGGCGGGACGTACACTAGCTGCCCGTACATGAAAGTAAACTACTCGCCCATCAGGATATGGGCAAAATATTAAATTTTTTATTTTTTATTTCTAGTTAACATTTTTTTAAATAAATCTTAAAGAAGCCGATTTCTAAATCAGGCATTGCAATCTCTACCCAGAGTTGTCGTTCCTTATAATGTGAGGATTATAACCGAACGCACCTAGCCGGAAGCCTTATTTATCAACCAATCGGCAAAGAGCACTTGTTGTCGTAAGCGGAAATATGGCCGCGGAACATTCAAATGCGCGCCCTTTCTAAGGGGAAGAATTTGCATCGCACAACATACAAACCAAGAGATGATTCACCTTTATAGTGAAGTTTGTTGAGTTTACATTTGATCATTAATATGGAAGTTGAAATTAAGGATGCTCAGGTTGCCTGTCTATCAGGAATCATTGACTTACAGAAAGCATGCCAACAAGAGAAACTGCGTTTTTCGCCGGAGACCAATCAGTACCTTCTGTATCAGACGTTGAGAAAGCTAGGTCCTTATGTGGCACAAAAATTGGTGTCAAAATGTAAGTAATCGATGTGTTATCTGTACGTTTTATTCGATATTTTTACCTATTAAAGTGTTGTACCGTAATTATTCATTTTTTTGAACCGGCATTTTTTTCGGCGTTCAACAGACCGTGGAAGCTTTTCCATATTCTAAATAAAGACCAATAACAATCGAGACGTGTGCTTATAAATAACCTTACCACGAAATCCTGATAATGCTATTGCAATTCGTAGGACAACATATTAGAAAGATGAAATAAGCTGTTTCAAGATTTTCGGCATCAATGCGACATCTCGATCAAAGAGGGACGCATGGTCAAACTTCGTTGTCAACAGCAACTTTTAATAGTCTTTTATGCATAAGTTTCGAGGTTCTGTATCTCGGGAATATCTTGGAATTAATCAGTGTAAGTATATCATTCTGTGGACAAAAAATGAAAAGGGGGCTTTGGTTCATATGTGAAAAAAGACTTATTTTCTTGTTTAATAGTTATATAGGTATTGACTTACAATTAAAAAATAGCAATCCTGATCTCCTGATCATAACATAGGTGGTATCAGTATAATGAATCAATGATACAATATATATCCCCTTCATATTACAACAAAATCCATTACCTGGTACAGTGCTATATATGTAACAGAAAATAATGCACCCCATTAACAAGACCCTTCGAATTGTAGAAAGACATTACCAATTGAGCTATCTGGTAGTTGATGATCGACCCTGTCAAGTTCTGCTACATTGCTCACACCTTTTTCCTAAATTTTGCTCTACCGATTGAGGTGATCACCGATGATTTGCTGAGTCCAGTTCTGCTACAGCTGTTTCAGGCTCTGTGGAGGATTGGTTTAGTATTAATTGTTAAACGTGCTATCAACAGCTATGGTCATTTAAGAACGGCCTCCCCTGTGTGCAAGATGCATGTAGTGTACTTGAGTGTGTTTTAGGAGGTTACGATATGTTCGTGTTTGTCTCCTTGTGATAGCGCGGAACTGATGCTGGCTTTATAGTGCTAGCTCACTGAAACATACTGCTGAAGACACCCAGCAGGACACCCCACACGGTCACATTATACTGACAACGGGCAAACCAGTCATCCCCATCCTAAACTGCTGAGCTCTAAGCAGGAGTAGAAACTACCACTTTTACAGACTCTGGCATGTTCCAGCCAGGGGACAGAACCCAAAGCCTTCCTCACCGGGGCGAAAGCTTAACTAAAGGCCAACAGTGAGGCATTGTTAAGGGAGAAGAAAGTTGTTTAGAAAGAAGAGAAAAGATAGGTCCCAAATTTAGTCACCTCTTATGATCATGCAATGGCAGGTACAATTCTTGCGCTCTACCTGCAGGGTGGAGGAATATGAAAAGGAAACAAATCAAATTATGTTAACCCAAGTGATTGAATAGGCTGAATATTATACATGTGTAGCAGACCTGAACTGGGTCGATCGTCAGCAATCACATAGCTCATTTGAATTGGTAGAGCGTCTGTCTAGAGTTTGGAGGGTCCCAGGTTTGAGCCTAAGTCTGGCTGTGCATTTTTCCTTGTCCTACTACAGTGGTGCCTGTGACCAACCCTTGTTTCACGCATTTGGTGTATGCTTGGCAAGGGGTTAACCGAACCTGGGTTGTAAATAGTTGTCTTCGGGTACCAAGACTTGGAAAAAGGAGGAAAGAATGTAGCGGACCTGGACTTGGTCGATGGTCGGCAACCAGATAGCTCAATTGGTATAGAGTTCGGAAGGTCCCTGGTATGAGCTTTTTTCCTCTCCTGTTACATATTATTGTAAATTATTTCTGTATAAATCTTGTAACAGCTTAAGTTTGTATTCAGATGATGATGCAACAGCAACATTTTAAATGAAATAATCCTTCTTAAATATTTTATAGAGATGTTTTTTTAATTTTTAAGATGATACTTTTTGGATGAATGTGGCAGGGGTTGGGAACAATGGAACCAGGTCTTTTGAAAAAATTAGAGTTTTGAGGTCAATCCATCAGCTGACCATGGCCATTGCCTATCCATGCAATTTCTTCATTAGGAATTAAAGTCTGCTTACTTCTCTTTTCAAAGAAGGATAAAAAGAAAATACAGTAAATGGTTCTAAAGTCTTTCATTCATAACACTGTTTAATTATGTGAAAAAAGGTATTGCAGTCAATTCAAATCATCATGACATTTATGGAATTTTGAAACCAAATACTGCATGTTATAATGTAGATGTGTAAGGAGAGTTTAAACGTTCCTGAATTCATGGTGGCTCTATAGATCTGTCAAAATAACAAGGGTGAGGAGGATATGATGTTAATAGTACATGGTACATATTCCGCCTTATCAGGCTAACTAGAGTTTATTTTGGTGGTAAATGGTATAATGTAATTTGGTACTTATAGTAATACTGAAAGGATGAGTGACGGGATCATTCTGAAAGTATCAATAGAACATTGATAGCTACGATTGAAACCCATTTACTCACTCACTACACAGGGTATACGTATAGTCACTGCCATTTATAATTGGGTTTATATATTCTAATCCACGGGCCTAACTACAAGATCTGGTCAGAACTAAGATATTTCATCCGAGCGGGTCTCTGTGTATAAACAATTGTTGTGGGCTTGTTATTTTTCATCAAAACAAAGAAGGATGGAGAAGGATTAAAAGATAAAAATAAGAAATTTGGTTTTTCTTCATCAAGAGCAATACAAACTATGACAATTGGTGAAACAGTACACTGTTAAATAGTGTTTTTTATATATATATATATGTAATAGTTTCTAGAATCGGGACAGGTATTTCTATTGAATATATGTATGCATTTCAATATAATTGAATACGTAAATTAATAATCTCTTCCTACATGCAACAATATTCTGAAATCCAAAATGATTGGTAGGGTTAACGTTTCTGCCCGACTATTACAATAAATAGATAGTCAGGGTCACATTGGGGTACTTGTGGAATGTCACTGCTTTAGTTTGCATAAAACTTGGTATGATATCTTGTGTATTTTTATTTATTTCTAAACTAGAAATTTGTATTTCAGTGGTGGAGCGAGGTGAAATAACATGGGAACAAGACGAAGATTGGGAAGTGGAGCAGATATTGGACCATACTGTTGATGAGGTACAGGAATCGCAATGAAAGACTTTAATTTTCATCGAGTATGAATATGGAATTAATTCAAATTTTAAGAGACTTTGCATCCAATAATTCATACTCATGTGATATTCATAATATGGTTAAAAGCACTTTCGCACAAATATTTGAGGAATAATATTTAAACTGTACCGAGATGTTTTCTAATTCAATTCTATTTTTGATGAGAGATGTTTTTAAGCTTCAACTCTAGTTTTTGTCTGGAACCTGTTAACAGTCTTAAAAACTAGAAAAATAAATCATATTTATCATTACTTTAATCACTTGAATCAAAGCTTAAGGTGGCTCCACACTTTCGCAATTAACCAGCAAAATTCGTTGAAACTTTCATATAATGGTTATGCAACTATGCAGAGTTAATTTTATGAAAATCTAAACATTCCGATAGTTTGGGGAATTTTTTGGAAAAAATACCAAAAAATTGAATTTTCGCCACTTTTAATATTTTCCGTTTTTTTTTTTGTGTGTGTGGCATTGTTCGGAACAATAAAAACAATAAAAAAATGAAAAGAAGCATTTATAATTAATCCTACAAATATTTTATTTATCGCAAAATATGTAACACATGTTACACAAAGTGTTTTTTATTGAATTTGAACGGATAAAAGTGATTATCTACAAGCTAAAAGCAAACAGGACACACAGATCTATACATATAGAGTGGGAAATTGAACAAAATATACACAATGGCTTTATAATTAATTTATTTTACATTTTACAATCACTTTGATCCGGGTGAGAGTTATCTTCCTTGAAAAAAATCGGAACTTTTTGCAGAGGGATGACATTTACACAATGACAGTTGTCTCTGTTTACATATAACAAATGATGGAAATAAATCAAAAATATGATATCAAAATTATCAATTTATTGTTCTTTAATGGAACCAAATTACCCTCAGTCATGTACACTTTGGACATCATTCCACAGTCCGCTAACTCACGGTATATTTATAATTACATGTCAGGTACATATGTGACCAGAGGCTATCGCATGGTATGCCGTTCTCACGTGCCCTCACACATGCATTTCATAGGTATCTTGATATTTTACAAAACATTATTTTCACAGAGTAAGTAGACTACATTTGTAAACACGATTTAATCGACAGAGCGAAACTCCCTCAGCTTATGAACTCGTGTAAGCACGTGATATGCACATATGAGGTTGGTACGTCCGCATTCCATGTGTTTCCTATATGACCTTCTTGAGGTCGTCTGGTCTCATGTCACTGTCTTCCCGTGAGTCTGTTTATGTCAATGAATTGGAAAGCTTTATTCCTGAAGTACGTGTGATTATACATTTCCCGGTAAAATCTCGATATCGGGTGTTGACATATCATCGGCACGCACGTGTACTATTGTTTACCAGGGGCCTGTTCGTTTATGCGGAACAACCGGTTTGACCGTTTATAAATGTAACAATTCCGGGTATAAATCCTGGCGGACCTACAAATGTGTATGCAAGACTTGCAAGGCTTTCTCAATGCTCGCCTGAAAGCAGCATCAGATAACTAGGTCCTACCTTATTTAATAAACGAACAACAGTGGTCCGATCGGTTTGACCGTTTAAACGCAAACGGCCCAGGTGTTACTATAATTTGCACTACGATATTGAATACCCGATACGCAAAACGGAAATGACGACACAGTGTACATGCACATTTCGATCAAGATAATTGAGTCCGAGCTGTACTTTTCCGGAAGTACGTCACGAAAATGGACGCTGATGACGATGTGTCGAGCCACCTTAAGTAGAATTGAGGTCTGTCATACATTTGTAAAAAAAAAAAAGATATTTTACAAGAAAAATTTGGAAAATGTCTCGAGATTCATAAAATTGTCAATATTCTGCCATACCCGTAAAATAAATAAACATGATACTCGTAATATCTAAAATGGTTGTTTGAATATTGAGAACAGTGTAAAAAATAATATTTGGGTTTAACCTGGGGCCTACAAATGACATACCAGTCTGTCCTATCCCGAGGTATAATTTTTGTTGGATATAAACACCGGAATAGTCCCTATATTGACACATTGGTTTGGCTTCCATCACTGATGTTCTTTTTCAGGTTATACATTTATTTCTACCTATACTAGGATCTACAAACTTAGCAAGATGGATATAGAAGCTGTATGGTTCATTTTCATTCATTTTGGAATGAAAAAGAAAAAAATCATGTCAGTTTAATTTAGCAAATATGAATTCCCAACTGTAAGTAGAGCACCATCTAGCTAGGGCCTACAAACTTCCAAGGATGGGTTAAGTTATAGACCCCATTCATATTGGTCCAAACTTCAAGGTCACATCAGCCGTATTTGGTGAGTTTACAGGTCCAGGATTGAAAGTGTCTAATGTCCATTCCCCCATATATATATTCACACACATAATGACAAAATGAATTATCAAATGTCATGTGAGGGTATCAGTTCAACAAAATCTCGTATTTCTAGTTGTCTCCAGTAGATAAAAATATCTAGAATAGCCCAACGCCTGTTAATGGTTGTATAATATGTGCACTATACATATACCTAGGTACTTGGTAGATAGATACGTAATTCTATGATACATGTATATGAACATTATGATATGAAACTTTGTCGCAAACATGTACCTGATCAAGTTTTAAAATATTTAATTTACTCAGTTTACAAATTCAGCACTCATTATGGCCCTTCTGTATTCATTTATGACTGAAATTTGATTATCTGTTGTTGCTTTTAAAAACTATATCACCTTTGATATGTTGCCAGGGAACAGATTATTACCTGATCAAATGGAAGAACTGGAGCAATGCTCACAACTCATGGGAGCCCAAAGACAATTTGGAGTGTCAAGACCTCCTGACAGAATACCACTCCGAAGGCCGACGCATCATGGCCAAGCGCAAGCTCATAGACTTGGACACTGTTGGATACGACTCCAAACGCAGCCGTGTGGATGAAATCTTCAGAAAGCTTGAACCAATCCGCAAAACACTCTCTCCACTTCAGTTGCTGTCTTTATCCAGTCCTAAGAAAGGTGGAAAGCTTCCTCTGTTTAAGGGACTGATCACCAGTAACGGTCAGAAAGTACCCAAGCTTCATACACCAGGCTTCAAACAGTTAAATCCAAGGACAAAGTTCTACAAACAGAAAAAAGATGAAGTGCGGAAAGCACTGAAAGAATGGGAGACAAAGTTGAACGGGATCAACAATGACCCTGCTCCAATCGTTGTGGAGAATGAAGTCGACTTGGAAGGGCCACCCGAGAACTTTGAGTATATCAATGACTACAAACCAGGGGAAGGGATTGACATCCCTGACGACCCAATAATTGGCTGTGAATGTGAAGATTGTCTAGATTGCAAGAAAACATGTTGTCCTAGTGCCTGTGGATCTGAATTTGCATACTACAAATATAAACGGCTAAGGATTTCTAGGGGAACGCCAATTTACGAGTGTAATAAACGCTGCAAATGTGGACCAGAATGCCCCAATCGAGTAGTACAGCAAGGTCGTAAATGCAAACTGTGTGTATTTCGCACCAGTAATGGCAGGGGTTGGGGAGTGAAAACTCTACAAAAAATCAAGAAAGGGTCATTTGTTGTAGAATATGTAGGGGAGGTAAGTGATCAGTTTGCTTTCATGAAATGGTTCCCTTTACTTAGCAAGTGGCTTAGATTACTTGTTTTAAGTATTAATGTAACATAATTTTGTGTAAATTTAATCATTGATTCGTATCCTGTGCATACTTGCCAACATTTTGAAATATCCATTGGGGAGATTCTGCATGCTCAAAATTAAAACATAAACGTGTGTATATTCCCCCTAACGTCAAAATGAGCCTATAAGTAACATACTTTGAATTGTTCTCTCGGATGAAATCATTAGATCTGAGAATATAGGAATAGTTCAGCAAATTCACTGGTTGAAAGTACTAAATTTAAGGGTCCAAAATCGGAGTCCCCTCCTAAATAGGGTGAGTTGACAAGTATGCATGTGTCAGAACAGTTGCACGTAGACATGGTTGTAGAACATTCACATGGAATAAAGCTTGAATTATTAAGTAAATTTTTTGGGGAAATTTGCAAATTAGGGTTTCCCAAAATAATGTGAAAATATCTATAATACCAATCGGCAACCTAATGGCACCGTAATTTAAAATTGGGATTAACTTGAATTTAAAAAAAGATATGAATTTCTTTTAATTCTATGTGTTAATTATTTTTTTACTGACCAAGACAATACAAGTTTTAATTTGGTTGATCTAAGCTTCATTAAAGGAGCTGGTCAAGGGGGAAAAAACACAAAATAAATGAGTCTAAATGCGTTCTCTGGCCTTCCAAAAGTTATACCACGGCAATATGATGGTTGAGTTCTGCTTGCAATGTCCAGTTTTGACTACTGAAATCTCTGGGAAGCCACGCGTAAATTTAGCGCAGATCTATTTATATATGTCACATGGTTGTTTCGAAAGTGAGGCAGTGAAGATAACAACAATAGCACACCGTCATGTGCCATGTCGGACTCTATAATAAATTGTTTTCAAAGGTCATGTATGATGCAAGTGTAGTATTCCTACCTATATGTTGTTGTTATATATAACGGTATTGATACCTGGGTCAATTCGACTCAATTGAGAGTTTTAGACTGTCGGGTGACGATTTAGGATTTCTTAACATAATTATAATTTTTACTCTTAGGGAGTGAATTTCAGCAAAATTTGTATCGGTATATTTCATAAGAAGGTATTTTAAATATGTGTATGACATTTTTTCTCCGACCAGCCCCTTTTAAGGTTCTCCCTTAATTATAATTTTTATTTCCAGGTGATTACAAACGAGGAGGCTGAGCGCCGGGGGCGGTACTACGATGCAGTAGGGAGGACATACTTGTTTGATCTGGATTATAATGATGGCGACTGTCCTTTTACTGTTGATGCTGGTTACTATGGAAATGTGTCACATTTCATCAATCACTGCGTATGTATAGTGCTGTCAGTGTACCGTTGGGATTTGGGTCCACTTGTTTAAAGTTTGATTTAGCTTAATAACAATTTGACAACAAAGCATAAATTTAGTATTTTCAAGATTATTGAAATTTTTAACTAAAACTGATATATAGGGATTTAAATGATGTTTACACCATGTGGTGAATGTGAACTACCTATCCCCTTATGTGTGAAATGTGAACAAAAGACCCCAATTACCAGTGTGTAATTCGTCTTATTATCATTAGTGATGTCTGTTTATTATCAAGGCTTCAATCTACGTTTTGGTTTTGATAGGTTATCGACAATTACATCATAATAAAACATACAAACACAGAAGTACAGACAGCGGGTTTGTATTCAGAAAAAAATTGTCAAATGTCTGCCTACCTACCTTTCCTTTATTGTTTTTGGCCAACACATTTTAATGCTTAAATAAGTAAGCTTTGTGAGAAGCCTTTATCAACAAATTAGTGTCTACAACTTTTAGAAAACTAACAAAGAAAGTAAGTGAGTAGATTGCACGTGGTGGCCATGTTGTTTTGATAACCTGAATAATCTAACATAACACGTGATTGGTTTTCCCAATTTGAGTACAATAAAATATTACTTTTACTGGATAGTTAAAATAATTTAATTTGACAACTGTATCACTACTTATTCCTTCTTTGCGTATTGCAGAGTTATCACCTCTTGTGAGCAGGTATTGATTGTTACGTCGTTGGTTTGTTTGAGAAAATTACATTGTTTTCTCAAAAATGGATGACACAATCAATACCTGCTCACAAGAGCAGATAACTCTGCAATACCAAAAGATGGAATAGGTTTATATTGAGAATAGCGCTCTGATAAAATTTTGACTATTTGTTTACTTCAAGATAACAGGTGGCTAGGCCTGGTTAATTTCATAATAAATGGAGTTTTAAAAATTAAAGTATAAATATAAGTCATTGATTCGAAAATTAATTATTAATTTGTCAAAATAAATATCATTTGTTGGAATGTCATTATAATTTATTTATTCTCAGATATATATTCATTTATTTCCATGATGATATTCTTGAAAAAAATTATCCATTTCTTGAGTCGGACCATTTTATTTACAATAATGTATAGTGATAATCAAAAAAAATGATAAAGAAAAAGGCAATAAAATGAGCAATAATAATGCAATGTCAAGATTATTAAGTAATGCTATTTATTTAAAATTTAACTACATCAATGTTTTGGAGTTTTCTTTCTCTAAGTGGAGTGATAGATGGGTTGCGACACAGTAATGGTTCGATGGAAGGGTTAAAAAATAAACGCCATAGCGCATCAAAAAAATCCTGGGGAGAACACTATAATTATGAAAATTAAATATTTGTGTTTTCAAAAGAAAATGCATAAATTTGTTTTTTAATTACATTAGTTCACTAAATAGTTACTGTATTAACTTAAAACAAATTTTGTGTGGCATGATCGAGTCAAACAGCTGGATTTAAATCAATCACAAAATTATTGATTGGTCACCTTGACCAGACTAATCGGATTATACAGGTAACATCTTCATTGAAATGTTTGAGTAAAAACGTTTTAAAATAATGAATGTCAGGTGTTTTAAAATGATCAATGCACGATGCTTAAAACTGTATTAAATATTTCCTGACTATTTTCTCCTGTTAAGTGTGATCCAAACTTAGAAGTATTTGGTGTGTGGATCAACGCATTGGATCCTAGACTGCCTCGCATCGCTCTCTTCTCCCGACGAGACATTGCCAAGGGGGAGGAACTAACCTTTGACTACATGATGACAGGTATGTAACAGTATACAATTGTTTCATGGCTATTTGGGGAACAGTCAAAACTATCATCCCGAGGTAGGGGAAAGCCCGGGGGAACTGTTTGCCCGAGGCCGCTAGGCCAAGGGCAAACAGTTCCACAGGGTTTCCCCCTACCGAGGGATGATAGTTTTGAATGTTCCCCAAATAGCATTGAAACAATTGTTTTATTACCAAATAGATATTAGTATCAATGCTGAATGCAATGATGCCATTGCTTCAGCATTGAGTCAAGGTCACCGAAACGCTTGAACGGGGCTGTCGAGGGGGGGGTTTCTGCGCATCGAATTTGCGCCGGGTAACAGTTCACTCTGACCGGGAAAATAGTTTTGACTAGTTCGCCCCTACAGCCGAAATTGGACAAAAGGCCAGAAACAGTCAAAAATGACTAATTATAATTTATATAGACTATTGGGTAATAATACAAAATAGATTTTAACGAGGCAAAACAATATTTCGTCTTTGTAGTCGAGACGACTTGTTGAATAGAATGTTTACTGGTCATTAATAATTCCTCATTGTTGTCAGAAATCTCATTCCCAGCTGTTAGTAATTATAGAAACCCAAAAGATAGGGACAGCATACTTAAACCTAGAAATATATCCAGGTTAGACCATAATAGACTTGTCCCGATATGCAGGCCTTTTTTTGTGGCCGAATATATATATGGGCCAGTTCCTCTCTCCAATTTTGGCATTAAGGTCACCTTGCATAAAGTTATAGGTGTATGAACACGGAGTTAGACATGGAAACTCACTTCCATTATATTTAAGTGGTAGATTATCATTAGAATTAATTTATGTTTGTATATATTAGTATTATGATGGGATATATAACTTGGCATTCAAAATAGTTGGGAATTGACTAATGAATCGGCTTTTGTCGTTTCCTTTTTTCCAATGTTCTCACCCTGATTTAATATTACACTATGTTATGGGTTCCTTCCATGCATATGACCAGAAAAGCTAGTTATGTCTATGCATACTTTGAACTAAAGTGATAGACAATTGACGGTCTCCTTTGATTACAGTTTTTAGCATTAAGACATAGATCTCCATATATTTAATTATGCTTAATGGAAAATGAGTATCGTTCAGAAAGTAGTAAAACATTTGTAACAAGTAGATTATTTGACAAAATGTCAATGTATCATGGTTGAAATATAAAAGCTGAATCAGAATTGGACTGTATTATTACCTTGCTATATATACATATTTGTGTGCAGGGGACACCACCAATCAGGCCCCAACTCTGGACGACGTGGAGAAAAGTGTTGCAGCTGGACTGATGGGGCCGATTGTGTTAGCTGACCCCTCCAAGGACAGCCCAGTAATCGGTGAAGTAGATACAGATGGAACTGACGACGTTGACATCTTGGGGGCAGTAACCATGGATACTCCTCCAGAGACACCTATCAGTGGACAAGGTGACACTGGTGATGACACCATGGAGGAGAACTTGCCAAATAAACCAGTGTCTCCAAGAAAATCCCCACGTAAACATGACTCTGAAGCAAAATCTCCACTGAAAATGAATATGTCACCACGCCCAATCATCTCGTCTAAGTCACCACAGAAGTCTAACTTGCCTACAACTTCACTGCCAATGGCAGGCGACTTTTCTTCAGACACCGTTTCACCTGACAAAAATCCATCCACAATCCAACATTTGAACAAAGTGCTTGGGGCCGAGGGAGATGCAGAACCTAGTGCCAAGTTGCTGCCCAAGTCCATCACGGACCAGTACAGAATAGTCTGTCAATGTGGTGCCAAGAACTGCAGGAAGTACCTGTTTTAGGGAATATAATACTATTGTCATTGTGACACGTAATTTCACATTTTAATTACTCTGTAATCCCTTATATTTCACAAGATATATGTGTGTTCATGTAAGTTCATTAGATGCCTCAATCCCAAATTAGAAAATAGTTCAATTTATTAGTCCCCCACTGGTATTACCAGAGGGAAGTTCAGGTAAGCACTCTGCCCAGTGTGTCACATTTACCAGGGTTTATCCTATATACTCTACCAAACTTTGTAGCCGAGTATTTCTTGGGATGGGGAAGGTCCACGTTCTAGAAATTGAGTCATGTGCCCCAACTATTTACAGAGTTATGTCCCTTCGGTCACCTAGCATCACCTTTTTCTAGAGTGAATCCCAATACTGTGTCGCTCACCGTTTCCAAGAGTTAAAAATTCAATTTAGTTTCTTTATCAATTACACTTCAGCATGCTGTGACTCAGCTAGGGCCTTACTGTTAGTTGTTGAAAATCTTTTATGAAAAATATTGAGTATTACTATAATTTAACCAACTGAAGACAACATAAAATGAAAATATCTTTTTATCTCATGAGATGCAGCATTACTCTGTGAACACACCCATGCTATATATTTTTAAAATGTAATTGTGTATTAAAAATTTGATAATGAACTGTTAAATGTTACGGAATTGTGTCCAGAGAATTCAAATTGTTTTGTGACATAACAATGGAAACAGTAGAAATAAGAAGGTAGAATTTTTAAACTTCAAGAAAGACTTGGAAATGCATGTTTATCACATGTCAGATTCAGACAAGCATTTGTATGAAAATAATTCTAAATTTGTTTTGATTTTGTATGAGACATAGTAATTGAAGTGATGTTTAAGTGGACATCATCTAGTATCCCTGTCACTGTAAGAGCAACTCATGACATGTGAAAATTTGGTGTAAAACATTTTAATATCAAATTTAATATGCAAATTACAAAATCATATTTAAGGAGCAAACGGGATCAATAATGTTAGGAACTAGAAGTCTTCATCCAACAGTTGTAAAAACTAGATAACCTTACCACTGTCATTTTGAATTGAAATTCCTCACCATTACGATTGATTATTTTTATAACAACTCTATAAAATTATTTGTCTGTCAATGAAAGATCTATAAAAATATTTATCGATCAATGACAGATCTATAAAAATATTTATCTATCAATAACAGATCTAGAAAATTATTTATCTTTATCTAGGAAAGGATAGATCTAGAAAATTATTTATCTGTCAAGGATAGATATTAACTATTCATCTATCTATAAAAGATGAAGTTTGTTCCTGAATGGCAAAATTTTATGTTGTTTGGTTTTTGTCAGAAAGGATTATTATAATACGTTGTGTTGTTAGTAGTAATTCTTTTGTTGATAAGTCAGGTTTTTCTGTTGCAGTTGTCGCCTCAATTAATTTATAATCTACCGGTACAAGTTATGTTTTTCTATTGAGTTTTAGAATTTACTTTAAATATTATACTGGTACACGTAGCATTTCTGAAACATGTCAGACTGGAAAAATGCATGTAATAAACAGAGAATAATTTATTGACATTTAACTCAGATAATGAAGGTTTCAGATTTATGATAAGAAATAGAAAATGTAATGTGAATGTTGTTGGACATATGAGAATGACATAGCCCTATACATGTATAACAGAAGGACCTGTCAGTTGAACAATCTGCAATGTTGTGACTGGTACAAATAAATGTTGGTACCCTTGTGAGATAGAATAGTTTAGTTTTAAGATTTAAACCTTGCTAATAGGAGATATTATGTTGTGACAGGCCATACATATATGTATATTATTGTTAACATGTACAAATATTTTCCCCATTTAAGACTATTAATCAGCACTATAAACATTTTAGTTAAAATACATTATCATCACTTATGTACAGCCTTGAGAAAATAGCCGAGATTCAATGTGCCATTTCATGTTTTTCTCAACTGACTGCATTATTATGAAAGGCAACTTTAGAAATGCTGTAGATTTTTCCCTGTGTAGAATTGCATGGATGGTTCTCTTTTAAAGTTTTACTAATTCATATCAAACACTTGTAACGGAGAGAATCATTTATTTTTATGAGACTGAGTAACAAAGCCTGTACTACTGTAAGTGATTTGGATTTGTATTTTATTGCAGCCCCCCAAACACCAATTTATTGAATTACATAAACTTTATTTGTTCAGTATTGTTGAATGAACAACTTTTTATTTTTGGTGGGGTTGCATTTTGACACAAAAAAGGGTTTTTTTCTGAATATCATCAAAGAAGGGTACTGCTCTCCAGTCTCCATACTAAGTAAATTAGAATCTTGGCTATTCAAGGACAAAGACCATATTATTAAATATTATTTACTATGTTTATCAGGGAAGATCTAAATTAAAATTAGAGAACAAATTGTATATAGATCTTTTTGTACATAAGTGTTTTATAGACTTCCATTAAGTGAAGATCTACTGAGTTTTAACCATCTTTAAATCAATAAAATATTGTACATACTATATGTGAGGTTTGGTTTGTGGTATGATGAATCAAAACCTGGAAACCGGGCAGCATCTTAATATCTTTCATAATCAATCTGTAATGAACTTTGGGTTTTAACATAAACAATCCGTATTTTAATACTGGTCATGAAAATTACGTGTGAACATTGTTAAATCTCACCAGGGGGATTGTTTCAGAATATCATGAGCGGTAAACCAGAAAGGGGAGTCACCGAATTATTAGTTCAGGTCTTTTCACAACAGCTTGTCCTGGTGGTAACTATCAAACTTTTAGATATCTCGATGAAACCATGTTTAACTGCATTAGGGCTGTTTCAGAATTACGGAAGGCACTTTTTCAAAGACCCCCACCAACCTATGATCTTAAAAATGATTTAATATAAGGAATGGTAGGCAGATCCGGTTTTAACCCCACCACCCATAATATATTAATACAGTGCCTCCCACCTCCTCACTAAAGTAAATGATGGAATGGCCCATGTCCTCAAGTATAAATTGGGACATTGGGACTTTAACCTCTACATGGTAGATCATCCAATGCTAAAATAAGAGGAGACATCTTTTTCAAAATCTCTGTTAAATATATGAATATTGTTCTGTAAAAAGTTTCCTAATTTTTATCAAAGATCTTGGGATTTTTAGACATAATTTTATGTTTTCAAGGTAAAGCCCACTTTGGTCATTTATGAACTCCATTCGTTTATATTCAATGCAATGACAAATAAGATTTAATATGCATATGTGATAATTGTGTTTAGTGTTTAATTAAATTCTGATTTGCGTTTTTCTTCATATGTAAAGAGACCTGTTGTTTAAAAAAATAATAATGGGAAAACCTATTATAATACACCATATGTAGTACACAAAAATATTTTTGAATGAAAGTTTATGTACATATGATTCCTCCCAATTCATAAGTATGCATCTTTGAATTCTAGGGGTTCTGCTATTGGTATCGCATGTATATCTACTCTGTACCCTTGAAATACACCATGGCAAAATCGACCACTTAATGTTGGTTATTTGATCCTGACACAATCACTGCTGATGTTGACAATGGTGTCTGTACCTTAAGGATTGTCAAAGAGGTTCCGAGATCAAGGCCGGTCAATTTTACTGAAAAATTCCTTCATGTTTTATCAAAACATAACTTCCAGATAACAGTTATCTTGGAAAATTTAATTAATTTCATCCGGACAAAAACCAAGGGTGCGGAGTAGATGTGTGATAATGGGAGTATATGTATAACCCTTGGATTACAAAGATAATAGTAGTTTGTCAATTATTGTGTTCTCTATTTTAATGAATTGTCTATTTTATTTAATACAGAAATGTACAGTTGATTGCCGCCAGATAAAGACATGAGGATTTTAAGGTTAAATTACAGCATGATGAAGAGGCTAAGATTTTGGTATTTGACTGTGGATTAAATCATAATTACAACAGTTATACTTGTTGCAGAATGATTTCTGCATAATAGTGCTATACTGGTGTTTTATCTATTATTTGGAATTTTCTAGTATTGTAATTAGCACTGTACGAGTGTTTTTATGTAAAATTGCATTTTAGTTGCACGAATTGATGAAACAAGTAAATATTTCCCAGTAGTCAGTGTTCCTGTCTAGTGTATTTTTTTTTCAATAATGGGAAAGAAACAGTTATTCGTTCGAAATCATTTTGAAGTTCTGTTGATATTCACGAAATTTTAAACATTTACTGTTTTCTTCTCCTGATAAAGGTTTTCTTTTTGCATTATTTCAGACTATGTGGGATAATTTCCACTTTTCAATTTCTGTAGAATTTTCATTGGTGTGTTTCGTAGACATGGATATGTCGACCTGATAAGTAACAGGTTCTGGATTGTCAAACTCTGAGGGTTGAGATTTCCGTGGCCACTTAATACAACAATGGTTAATTTGTTTTCTCCCTGCCCACGCAAATATAGGACAAACGAAAAACTAAAAAGTCCTTCATAATGTGATCTTTTTTTATTCAGACATTATGGACATTTGGTGTAGCTTATATTTAGATGAACCTTGTTTTAATGGGCAACTATGGGTGGATGTATTGTTCTGATACCAATGTAAAACAAATATATCACCGCAAATAAATCATCTTCAAAAATTATCTTCCAAGCTTGGTGGTCCATAGTACAAACAGGACATTCAGATCAAAACAGATTTCCTTAGCTCTTACTGATAAACTTGTTCATGTAAATAACTGACTTCTACTGTTATATAAAAATGTTGGACTCTCAATGGCAATTAGAATAGACTTATAGTTAAAATTTATATTGAATTATTTCAAGCGTGTATGTTTTAAAATTAGATTACCAATGTATGTTAATGTAACTAGTTTGATAATAATATTGTCCTCCCCTACTCTGGAAAGTTTTGTTGCACATGCACAGGTATCACAAGCAAATCGCTTCCGCAGTTGTTTCATGCATTGACAAATCCATTCATGACATGCTGATGTTTTCCATGCATTATGTTCACCATACAAAAATAGATCACAAGTTGAACACACACACACACACACACCCCACACACACCCCCCACACACACACCCCACACACACACCCCACACACACACCCCCCACCACCCCCTGAAGCCGACAAAAAAAGTTCTTATTAAGACCTCATATTTTAACTTAAAAATTCCAATATTGGTGTCCCTAAGCAAACAAACAATGAAAAATGTTGTAGTATGATACATGTATTGTGAATTGATTTTATAGTGAAAAGCAGGTACAAAAAAAACCAATAAATTAACTTTTGAGTGTGGTAGTTGGCTTAGGCCAAACAGTAAGTTGGTTAAGAGAGTATTGTTACAGGATAAATTGTCATCTGGCTCCATAAAAAAGTGTTTTCTCTGGGTTGTTGTACATTGTACCAGCAGATTACCTCTTGCTTGTAACTAACCTTGAAAAGAAAAGCTCCTGGTGAAAAAGTATCCAGGTTTTCAGATGATCCTATTAACCACCTCTTAAAAGAATGCCCCAAGTAACCTCCCCCTAGAGAGAAGATCCATAGTTACCCCCACCCCAGGTAGAAGGCTTGTAGTAATAATCATCTCCCTTACTGCGGATTCTGTCTCAGCTTGATTATGAGAGATGTTTCTTTGGGTGGATGTTAGGGGGTTTATACTTGAGGGTGGTTTCTCAGACTTTTTGTCTAATGCTGATTACAGAGGCGCACTGTAGCATTGCTGACCCGTGTTTCACCAGATAGGGACGGCTACTAGTTATTTTCCGTAATTGGTGTTCTTATTCTCTTCTTTGGGATAGTAAATAAAAGCCCTATACCTTGGGGTGGTTACCAGGAATCTTCTTTATGGGTGGTGTTTACTAATGCAGTGTCTCGGGCTGGATACTTTGATCCTCTACCCAATGGTGGATACTAGTGGGCATTTTCTCTCGAGATGGATACAAGAGGACTTATATTCTTGGGTGGTTAAAAAGGGACACTATCTTTAGCTTCATACTCTCGATGAATGATTAATGTGGCGTTTTTCAAAGAGTTGATCTTAGCCTTTCACATAGAGATGGTTGTAAGGGACCTTCTACCTAGAGTTTAACAGGTACTTTTGCTTTGGATGGTTATTATCAACTTTTTACCTAGTAAATATGTCCTACCACCTAGTGATGAGTATTAGGTGTGTTCCATCTAGAGCTGATATAAGGAACCTTTCATCGATTTTATCAGGAGCATTCTACGTAGTGTAATTGAAACCACTCGAGTTGAAATTGCATACAAAATAAGGCCTAGTGTTATTTAGTAGATGCCAAAAGGGTAGACATGGTCTACCTCTGAATGTTACAAATAGGACCACATGTGTGTAAATAAGTCTTACAAATTCTATGATTTTAGACGTGTCACTACTTTCTATATTTTATGTCAATTGAATAAAGTCATCTAAACGAGATGGAATGGACATTCATTTGTAGTTGTTTTATCTTAGTGTGACCGATATGCAAGTGATTACTGCAATATTGTTATGCCTTTTGTCTTTGTAATTTCTCTTCCTATTATAGTGCAGGAAGTTCTATAGCACTGATGTGTCAAACACTTCAAACGACTTATTCTTAAGAACTAAAAGGTACTCAATCTTCATATTTGGTTGGTGGTTTCCTGGGATAGAACCCGACAAAGTTTGAGAATGAAAGTGACCTTGACCAACTTTCAAGGTCACAGGAGTCAATTAATGTCAAACACTTAAAACAGCTTCTTCTGAAGAACCGAAATGTATAGAATCTTCATACTTGGCTAGTAGCTTCCTGGGATAGGGCCTGACAAAGTTGTGAATGAAAATGACTTTGACTTACTTTCAAGGTCACAGCAGTCAAATATGTGAAACACTTCAAACAAACTTTTTCTGAAGAACTGAGAGGTATAGAATCTTCATATTTGGTGGGTGGCTTCCTGGGTAAGAGCCCAACAAAGTTTGAGAATGAAAATTAATTTGACCTACTTTCAAGTTCACAGCGGTCAAACGCTTCAAACGACTTCTTCTGAAGAACTGAAAGGCATATAATCTATATATTTGGCTGGTGGCTTCCTGGGATAGAGCCCGACAAAGTTTGAAAACGAAAATGACCTTGAGTGACTTACTTTCAAGGTCTCGGGAGTCTGATATGTCTAATGCTTAAAATGACTTCTTCTGAAGAACTGAAAGTTACAGAACCTAAATATTTGGCTGGGAACGAGCCCAACAAAGTTTGAGAATGAAAATTAGTTTGACCTACTTTCAAGTTCACAGCGGTCAAATATGTCAAACGCTTTCAAACGACTACTTCTGAAGAACTGAAAGGTATAGAATCTTTATATTTGGCTGTTGCTTCCTGGGATAGAGCCCGACAAAGTTTGAAAACGAAAATGACCTTGAGTGACTTACTTTCAAGGTCTCGGGAGTCTGATATGTCTAATGCTTAAAATGACTTCTTCTGAAGAACTGAAAGTTACAGAACCTAAATATTTGGCTGGGAACGAGCCCAACAAAGTTTGAGAATGAAAATGACCTTGACCTACTTTTTTAAAGGTCAAATGAGTCAGATATGTCAAACACTTCAAACGACTTCTTCTGAAGAACTGCAATGTATGAAATCTTAATATTTGGCTGGTGACTTCCTGGGAAAGAGTTCACCAAAGTTTGAGAATGAAAATGACCTCAACCTACTTTAGAGGTCACAGAGGTCAACAACATTTTAAAGGATTTGTTATAAAGAACTAAAAGGAATGGATTTATAAGATTTGGCTGGTAGCCATTTGGAATAGAGCTAACCAATTTGAGAAGGAAAATGACATTGACTTACTTACAAGGTCACAGGTAAAAATATGTCAAGCAACTTCTGAAGAAGAATCAAAAAGCATAGAATCTTATAATAATATTTTGCTGGTAGTTTCAACAGATGGAGCCGATAAAGTTTGCGAGGGAAATATCTTCAGTGCAATATAACATTTAATGAAAATATTTTGCTATGACTGCTTAAATATTCAGGTGAGCGATACAGGCCCTCTGGGCCTCTTGTTAAATAAGGTCGGACCCAGTAAACTGATGCTGCTTTCAGGCGAGCCTTGACAAAGTCTTGCAAGGCCTGCATTATATCAGAAATTGTTACGTTTAAAAACGGACAAACCGGTTGTGGCAGCCATATTATATTAACTTTGGTACTTCAATGGAAGTCCAGACGTTTGGATCTTCTTCACATCTGACTTTAAAAGGGTGTTCTTGTTGTCTTGCCCATGTCGCTCAAAGGTTGGTTAAAGATAAACAGTGGTTAGGAACAATTTTAAAATATGAATACACATCTCGAGAACATTGGTATCATTTCACTGATATAGATTGTGTTTTGATGATTTACTTCGCGTTGACAATCCTTGGTTTTACTTGGCAACAATTTGAATTTTTAACATTTGAGCAACGGGTGCCTCATTGTCAACGTGTGCGTCATCGAATTATTTTCTTGGGCACTATCTCTTTGCGCACGTTCAGTACAAATTGCCTACCATTCATCATCATAACGCATGATTTGTGAAAAGTGTTGGTTAAATAGTATACCTGTCTTTATCCCGTTTTCCAGGTCCTATCATGCTGTAGTGTACGTTCTTCACGACTGTGTCCTCCCGATATAGATTATCAATGTTTTGATGTGCTGAAGTTAGTGCTACTGGTCAAGTTCTTTCTCGATCTAGTTGTGTAATACTGATCTGAAGGAGTTTCCAAAGTCCTGTCAAACCACCGTCATGGTTATCTTTGTTGTATGGATTTTGAAAACCCAAGGGTTTCTCTCTTCTGACAAGGTTGTGAACTACATATATATAATATAAAAAGACAAATTCTCAACAACGAGTCTTACTTAAGTACTTTCATCTTTTCTAGGAGATTCTTCAGATATATATATATATATATAGTTGTAGCTGTTATCCACCGGTAGGATGTCATTCGCTTGGCTAAGAGATCAGTCCTTGGACACTCAACAATGACTTGGTCGATTGTATATTTAATTGGAGTCTGACTTGCTTACAGCACGTCAGTAAAAAATGTCAGTGCCCTACTTAATTATTAGCTGTCACTGTCGCGTTATCATTCCTATAGCCATTTACATGGCATTACGCTTGATACGAAGGCTGGTCCTGATCTTGCCTTCACCTCTCTGCATGGTGTTTTTATTTGGCGGAAGTTCGGTAGCCAACGAAGAACTTAGGAATTTACAAATAAGACCAGGCTGAATTGTCAAACCCATATGTTTTGCCCTGTTAACATGCCCCAAGACGCAAAGTTTATATATATAATTAAGGAATGCCCAAGATTTTGTTTCGGTATATACCAAAACAAAATCTTGGACATCCTTTAAAATTTAATTTTAAAAAAGTAGACAAACACGTTGTAAATGTACAGTTAAAGATTTATTTATTTTTTACGTAAACTAAACAATTGCGCTAAAAAAAGCTGCGTTGAAATTTTGCATTCTGAAGTGTAAAAAGTAGTTCCGTTATCAGTTGTTTTTCTTTTTAGGTATATACGATATATACCAAAAAAAAATATTATGGGGGAGATAGGCAAAATTAAATTATTCATGATTAACTGAGAATTTACTTTCGGTTACGGAGAATACATTTACTTGGATCGAAGGCATTATTCCACACATTTCCATGTGCTAGCTGATCCGCGAGTATTTTAATACATTTGTTCAAGTAAGTTCTTTTGTTATTTATGGTTTTAGGTTATCTGGACAAGGAGCTTTATGTGCATTTAATATTCTTTGAATGGGTTAGGATATATACCGCCTTCGTGGATAATTAACAGAAAAGCGGCGCATTATCGACGCGGCGTGTACTTTGCAGGTCGGGTATGACGTGGAGTAGTCGGACCTATAGATGCAGAACCAAAATCGCCGCTTCATACCAGAACATTATTTTTTTTTCATTCTTGGGATTGTGTGGTTTATGATGTCTTAAATATGACTTCAATCAATCTGATTAAAACAGAGCTTAGCATTACACTATCGTTCTACTATTGAAGTAGGACGAGGAATAGTGATAAAGATAATGCCGTCGCTTGGCCTCGAACCCGCGACCCTTGCCCTTGGCTCTCCAGCCCGATGCTCTACCACTTAGCTAAGGGAATTCCCTTGTAAGGCAACCTAATTAAAACATGTTTTACACTATCGGTAGTAGAACGATAGTATAATGAGGAACTGTATTCTAATCAGATTGGAATTTCATTGGGAGGAACGGATTTATCATTATTACTACCTCGAGTCCTTGTTTGGTTGTTATCAACCCCGGATTTTATACCGTAAACCCGAAGCGGCAAGCAAAAACCTTCAAGGAGAATCTCCGTGGATCGGTTGTCGAATGCGCCTAGAAAATGCGCTCT